GAGGGTGTGACAAAGATGAGGCTCATGAGTAGAGTGATGATGATCATGTGGGAGGAGAGAAAGGGAAAGATGGAGGAGGAAAATAATCGGGAGAGAAAGAACTGCTTTTTACTGAATGCTGGGCTGGGCACTGTGCTAAGATATCGGAACAACCCTGTGAGACAGGAGTGACTTGGAGAAGCAGAGTGACTTGCCCTGGGTGACACAGCCGTAGAACCTAAATTTGAAAGCAATTCTATCTAATTGCTAATACTCCTGCTGTTGACTGTCATACTACTCAGCCTGCTAAAAAGTGGGCCTAACCCCTCCATTATCTTCATCATCATCATCTTCCGCTAACCATGTGTGACGAACCCACTCTTTGCCGGCTGATTTCCAAACCTCATCTCTTCTGAGAGGGTGTTCTGCCTCTCCAGAAAGACACCAGCTATAACTTAAGGAACTACTATATGTGCAGGTCTTGGTGCTAAATACGCCTCATATAGTGTTGCTAATCTTCTCAATCCCTCTAAAATTTGGAGAATCCATTCCCATTCTCAGACGAGGCTCAGAGAGGTTAGCTCTGGGTGCAGGGAACACAAATTTGCTATCTCCGTGGGAATTTATTAGAGAGTGAGCAGCCCAAGTTCTGTGAGCACAGGCCAGCAGGGGAAGAGGGCACAGCTTTCCCCAGCAACTTTGGACCCAGGGGACAGTCCGCTGACTTCCTGGACAGAGGTCCAGCAGTGCCTACCTCGAGACTTGTTCCTCCGCTTCCGCTTCCCTGCTGACGCACTGCGCGGGGCTGGCTGCAGGTGACCGATCTCGATGGGAGTGTTAGCTCGGAAACTCTCCTTGAACTTCTGCATCAGGGACTCCACTGTCTCCTGCGTCGCCTCAGCTGCTGCTACAGGGTGGCAACAGGGCTGAGGTTAGGGCTTGGCCCTTGCTCAGCCCCTGGAGGACTGGGCCTGGCCACACTGGGTTCCTGAAACTCCCTCCCTGACCCATTAAAGACAGAGAATCACAAAGCACTGGCCGGGCACAGATGCGTCTGCTGGCTTACTCATTTATTTATTCAACATCTGCTATGTTCCAGGCACTACTCTAGGCCCTGGAGATATGGTGTTAAAAAGTCAGATACAATTCATAATTCAAGCGATTCATAGTTTAATAAGACACATGTCTAGAAAATTCTAACACCGTGTAATGTTTCTGTGATGGGAAAGTATAGAATTCCTGAGGATCAGCAAAGAGAATCATCACACCCACCCTGGGAACCAAGAAGACTTCCAGGAGGAGGCGCTATGTACATTGAAACCTTAAGAACGAGTAAGGAATTAGCAAAAAGGCCAAATCAGGCTGGACCTGGAGAGAAAACCATGTCCCGGGCAGCAGGAGAAGCACAAGTGATGATCTGAAGCTGGAACAATGAGAAGTAATTCATGGAGTTGCAATGGAGGGGGAGGGGCTGCGGGAGATAAGGCTGGAGAAATAAGGATGATTTGTAAACCAGGATTGGGAGTTTGAGTTTTATCCTAAAAGCCAAAAGTTATCACTGAGAAGTTTCAAAGAAGAAATGGACGTATTCAAATAAAGTCATTTTGAAAATAATTACTAATTAGAGTGTGGAGAATGCTAATTAAGGCGGGGAAGGCGGCCAGTGCTGAGGCTTCTGCTCTAGCCAGGCAGATGCATGGGCAGCCTGAGCCAGGGTGGTGTCAGTGAAGGTCACACAATGTCTTAGGAGATAAAAGTACAGAACTGTGGATGCATAGGTCACCTCGCACCGTATCCCCATTTTACCAAGGTGAAGTTTAAGCCCCCAAACAAGATGCACAACTTGCTCTTAGCCAGGGACTCGCAGAGTCAAGCCTTCTGCCCCCTCTTCTAATGTTCTATTTGCATACTCACAAATGATCTGTTACTAGCCACATTTTCACAAAGTTTCAAAATTAGAAGTGGTAGAAAGTTCTAGTAAATAAAGAGAGTAAGGCTAGAAGGGCAGAAAGAAAAGGAGGGGGAGCAGAAAAGCCTGAGATAGAAGGAAAGAGGCAACATAAAAGGCAAGGAGGGGAAAGCAGAAAGAAGAAAGGAAAAATCGCTGAATGGCCTCAGTGCTTTTTGTTCTGAGAAAATTCCAAAGAAAGCCCTGACTTTGAAATCTTCAAACTCAAGCCTCCCTCCACGTATGTCTCTAGAGGCTAGGAAATTTCTTCTTCAGTTTGAACTGCCTGCTGTCTGATGCCAAGAGATGGGATGTACCACAGATTTCTGTTTCTTTGATGGGGTTTCATCAGACTGGACAAAGAAGGCTCCTGCACATCCCAACACCCATCTCTAGGAAGCACCGGTTTCCCCAGGAAAGCTACAGATGTGTGTCTAGAGCAGTGGCTCTCAACCTTCCTAATGCTGCGACCCTTTAATACAGCTCCTCGTGTTGTGGTGACCCCCAACCATAAAATTACTTTCATTGCTACTTCATAACTGTAATTTTGCTACTGTTATGAATCGTAATGCAAATATCTGATTTGCAGGATGTATTTTCGTTGTTACAAAGGGGTCGAGACCCCAAGTTGAGAGCCACTGGTCTGTAGGGTAAGTCACGCCTGGAGGGCTGGTTTGGTATCGGGTTCTGTGAGAAGCCCCATCTTCAGGGACACAGGGGCATGTAGGATTGCTAAACAAGAAACACTTGTTAACATAAAGGACAAACCATGTGGTGGCATTACAGCTAGCTTTCCACCTGCCCCTCTTGCTACGTAGGCCACTGTGAAAGTTTTGGCATCCAAGAAACACAGTCGACAGTGTCCTTTCTGCTTCACTCATGCAAGTTTCAACTAGTTTGGCTCATCAGTGTTGCTGGGAGGGCTTTGTTTATTTCTGTCTGTGTGGATTTCACATTTCTTGATTTTTATCTGTCTCAAAACTTTTGTAATGGCCTACATAGCTCTCTCCCCAAACACCTCAGTTAGGTTTCCTTAAAGGTGAACTGAGGAGACTCAAAACAGGGGCCCTTCCTCTAAGCTTGTAACTCTCTAGGAGAAGGATACAGGATGATTCTGAGAAGCAGCGTCACACCCAGTTTGATTGTTTAAACCCAGGGAGAGGAGTGATTTGTCCAAAATTGTAAGAAGTGTTCTGACCACGGTCAACAGTTCAAAACAAGCCATTGTCTGGGATCTTCAAAGGGAAGGACCCACACAGGTCTGTCAACATTCATTCATTCATTCATCATTCCATTAATTCATACACTCATTCCACAGAGTTTACAGAAAAGCCATCATGTCGCCATGCTGGGCACAGAGGTGTATCTTCTCAAAATTCCACAGACTGGTGGCTTCAATTACAGACATTAATTTTCTGACAGATCTGGAGGTTGAAAGTGCAAGATCAGGGTACAGAATGGTTGGGTCTTGCTGGCTTCCAGATGGCCACCTCCTCATGTTCTTACACGGTGGAGGGAGAGAGGCAGAGACAGAGAGACAGGTCTCTCCCTTCCTCTTCTTATAAGGCCACAGTTCAATCAGATTAGAGCCCCTTCCGATGACCACATTTAATCATAATTACCCCCTATGACACTATTTCCAGAGATAAGCTGCTCTGGACTGAACTATGTCCCCCCTTCCCCACCAATTTATATGTTGGAGTCCTAACTCCCAACATGACTAGATTTAGAGATGGGGCTTTTAGTAGGTACTTAAGGTTAAATGAGGTCATAACGTGGACTCCTAATTTGGTAGGATTGGTAGCCTTCTAAATAGAATAAGAGAGAAAGACAACACTCTCTCTCCCTGTAAGCTCACACACTGATGAAGGGTCATGTCAGCACACAGCAAGAAGCTGGGAAAAGGGCCCTCACCAGAACTCAACCATACTTGCCTCTTGACCTTGAATCTTCTGCCTCCAGAACTGTGAGAAAATTAATTTCGATTGTTTAAGCCACCCAGTCTATAGTACAAGGTTAGTGTCCTTATTCTAAAACTCGAAAATCTGAAATGCTCCAAGATCTGAAACTTTCTGAGCATCAGTGACACTCAAAGGCTGTGTTCGTTAAAGCAGTTTGGATTTTGGGTTAGGGATGGACAGCCTTTATTTTGCTATGGTAGCTGAAGCAGAATAAAACCGGGCCACGCAGCAGTTAGGGCTTCAAAACCTATAAAGTTTGGGTAGATACAAATATTCAGTCCATAGCAAGGTATAGTGGTGAAAAAACAGACAAAATCCTCTCATGACAGCTTATCATATAGACAGGAAGATCAGTACTAGTTAATAATTGGCATCTAAGTGTAAAACACCATACGTACTATAGTGGTGAAGGATGATGCGAGAGGCTGTATTAGAAGACTTTGATCTTGTCTAGGAAAATCATGGAAACTTACTTCATGGAAGTGAGCAGTGTGACCAAGTTCTAAAGAGTACAGTTAATCAGGTGGGGAGGAAGTCATGAGTGCTGGGGGGCTGAGGTAAGAACGGCAAAAGTTAGAGGCAACAGTCAAGCCGCCCTCTTGGGGAGAAGGAGTACAGAGGAGTTCTGATCCCTCCTGGGGATGAATCATTGAAGACAAATGATCTGAGATAATGCTGGAACAAACACAGAAAGCCCTAACCCTAACTCTACATCTATCCTTAACCCTTTGGGCCTTGTTAAGGGCGGAACATACTGAAGGTTTGAGATTGGAAAGTGATGTGATAAAATTTGCATTTAGAGAATACTGCAATCACTCTGGCAGAAGAGAGAATTCACTGGAGATGGACAAGAATGAAGGTGAGAGGGCTGAGTAGGAAGATAACACAGTGTTACCTATGAAGGTGAGAGGGCTGAGTAGGAAGATAACACAGTGTTACCTA